GAGTCCTGAACATTTTTACTTAGAGTACCCGATCCCGTTTACTTAGCACGTTATTGAGATATTAGCATACTGGTTATCCTTAACCACTGGCACAAGTTAAAAATGTCCAAAAAATCATCTTCTGAAATTACTATATTCCAAACAAATTAAGCATTAAAAAATTTTATTAGTACCTATTATGCAAAAAAATATAAAATACAATAAACTACTAAATAATTAATTACATTGATTCCAGGCATAGAATTCAAAATAACGTTTTCATTCAAATTGTAATGACAACTCCTGCAACGAATGTGTTCTTCGTTCCAAAGTTTCTCAATTTCCATCCCGATTTGGCGGGGTATCTTAACTTCTTTAGTTGCATCTACTGATCCTAAAAATGAAATATTATCGTTGATAGTAACAATCTGTGCATTCCAAAATTGGCATAATACATCAATATTATCTATGATTACTGGAAGTCGATCTTTGATTCTTTCAATGTACTGAACAAGACTCGATCTCTCGTTTTCCGTGGGGATTAGCTCATATTCATTTCGGTTAAAAAATCCAAAAATCTGAGTACCAAACCGATTCAATAATATCCTCCATCGCCTAAAAAACGATTTTCTCTTTTTACAAACAAACATGGTTAAGGCATAGCATGCAATCATTGGTGATGACACAAGAATTGGTTGTATATCGGCAAAGTCCACAGAAGTTGCGTACATATTATCTTTGGAATTGGAATTTTTTTGAGAAATAGTAAAAGATTCTTCCTGACTCATATAACCTGGATCTACGGAACCTATGAGAGATTTAAATGAATTTATTGAATTCCCGAAAATTTCGAATAAATAAAGAATTTAGAAACCATCTCACCCTCATTTTTTTGCAGTTCACCGGCAGGACTGGAATTGTATTGATAAATGGCGCCAACTATGAATTTACCAAAATCATAAACATAATCTCTACTGTAATATGTCATGAGCCATACGATAAGAAAAACTAATGTTGGTTTAGCAATCGTTTCCGCTATTAATCGGTTCATATTAATTTCTTCTATTTCATTAATTTCGTAATCGTCAATTCTGAGATTTTTCAAAATGTTGTAAAAGGAAATGTAATCCCTTTTCAATTTTTCACAGTCATCTTTCTGAGAGTTAGCCGTATTTGATAACAACTTAAGAGTCT